TTTATTTTTGTTGGTCACACAGTCAGCCAGATGTTTAGACTGGATTTGGCATTTTTATCCACCTATCAAGTTGTTATTTTGCTTTTTAATGAACTATACCCCATCCAAAGCTCTACAAGCCAGGAAACCTGCATTTCAGGAGCTTGCTCAGAGTTCAGACATACACCAGAACTGCAGACACCATCAATGCAATAGTCCTCTTGATATTTACAGTTTAAAGCGTTAGAAACCTGTGTAATTGCAATTTTTTTATTGTGGTTTTTAACAATTTGTTTTTGGTTTTACAATTTGGACAGCATTCCGTCACTCAATCTAGAGAAACCCACGAGCAGCAGAGCTCTTTCTAAAATCACTTTTCTGGGTTGTGTAGTGTTACATATGAAGCCGTGATTCATTGTAAGCTTAGCCCTCTTAATAAACTGCCTCTGGGAGAGGTTCAGACAGGTAAATCAAATAAAATGTAAAATAATGAATTTCCCATAAGAACAACATTTAGTAAAATTAACATAAAACCACACAGCAGATGCAACCAAAGTAAAGGATAGTTTCATCCTTCAGTTTGTGGTACGTAGTCTTCTGTACTAGTTTTCTGGCATTCGTTTTTCTCGTTTCGTTCGGTCCAGGGAGAGCCCTTAAGGTGTGCCTGGCCAGTCCTTCATTCCCTTCAGAATCCTTTCGTGCTTGGCCTGATGTTATTTTTCTTTGCGTAACCAGTTTTAAATTGTGCGTAACCAGGCCAGCATATCTTGCACAGTTTCATTGTATTCATTTCTATAAGATTTTCTTTTCTGTTCTGTTTCCAGTGTTTAAGAGCAATATTGAAATTAATGTGTGAATGCTGGGCCCACAATCCAGCCTCTAGACTTACAGCCTTGAGGATTAAGAAGACACTTGGCAAGATGGTGGAATCGCAAGATGTTAAAATTTGACAAAGAAGTGTCATGGAGGAGTGAATTTTGGACTCTAGAGCTGTTCACTCAACCAAATGCAGGTTTGGTGGGATCGGGAGAGGGCGCCTGAATTTCAGCCCACTTCCTCGCTAATTCTACAGGCTGCTAATATTAAGTTGTCATAGAATATGGTATCCGTGCACACTATATGATACATGCACGGATAGCCTCGTGTTTTTTGTTGTGTTTTGAGCTGCATTAAGATTTTCATCACAGTTTTAAATTCCCATCAATTTCTTAAGTTCTGAATGGAATATTCAGATTTATAGTGCTTTCTGTGAAAGCCTTAAGTTAAATGAATGCAACAGCAGTGGAAAAATTAAGCTTTTTGCCTCCTACCTGATGATATCTTACCAGGACTTGGCAGAATAGCCTGCGTGTCTGAGATACTAAGTAATCGGAGAATTCCTTAAGTCTTTTACAGTTTCGTGCCAGGACTTTTCTCCTGTCATTTGGAGTACTTCAGAAGCCATTAAATTTCGTGCAAAGCTACCATTTCTTTTGTAATGCCTCGGCCAAGAGTATGACATCTATTTGGGATTCCAAGAAAAGTTACCTCTCCCTTCCTTTTGTGCTGCATCAAGGATGACCCAAAATCAAAGAGCTACTCTAAATCTGTGCAGCAAGTCTCTTTCAAGTTGGATGTGAAGATATAAATCAATTCCCAGTGCGATTTCTGGAGACTGAGTCCGCAACATGGAACTGCAAAATCTCTTTGATAATTTAAGTGCCTGTAATCGTGTACTGTAAACCATGCCCTAGGTATTTTTTTAAAAGGGGAAGCTATTTATGTAGTGCGTAATGTACTTTTATTTCCTGTTCTGTGTATATGTGTAAATGTGCCATACACAGATCTGAAAATAATTTTAAAAGGAATTACGTTCAGTTAGAAACACACCTCCTGAATGTGACATGTAGACCTGTTGAATAGTCTGTTGGAATAGATGCATGGATATTATAAAAGGGTTTAAATTTTCCTTTGAGAAGCATTCAGTAGAAAGTTTAATGCAATTTGAGCGTGAATTCAAGAAACAATAAAATGTAGGGGATTTTTGGTCAGGCAATACATTGCAGTATTTTTTTAATTTATATCTTGGTGTACAAATTTTATTTAACATTAAGTCATTGCTCATTCAGTAATGCCTTTAAGTATTAGTGCATAGTCATCTGAACAGTTCATGGGTACATAAGCTATGGATTAATTTATTGTGAAGGCAGCAAGTAATGGACAATATTTTGCCACAGGTCCTTAGCGAAAGTCATGTTTTTCTGTCCATTGCTAGAAAGGTAGTCTGATGTTCTGAAACTTACCTCATCTTTTGTTTTGCACAAGTAGTTGAAGATTATTTGGGATAAACTGAATTATTAATCTAGACCAGTTGTTTTTGTACTCTGTGCTTTCAGGGATCCCTCTCTGTCTTCAATATGGATATGTCCACTAAGGCAGGGTTCCTCAACTTTGGCGACTTGAAGATGCGTGGACTTCAAG